CCCCCCCACCCGCCCTGCCCTGCCCGGCCCTACCAGTCCCCAGGGGGCGCTGGGATGTGTGCAAACTCCAGGTGACTGGACAGGTGGCCCCCAAACTGGTAGGCGTCTCGAATGGTCCTGAGGGGGCGGGTTGGCGAGCAGGCAGGGTCCTGGGCGGGCTGCCGGCTGCGGCGGGAGGCCTGGGGGGTTGGATGGAGACGCAGGGGTGCGTGGAGGCCACCTTCCACCCGCCCCAGCTCTGGCGCACACCACCCCGCACCCCACCTTCCGAGCCGCGGTGGCCCGCAGTCCTCTCGGGCCCTGCTCAGGGCCTGGGGTGGGGCGGCCGGGGAACAGCCTGAGCTCACGTTGAGACCGCCCAGGTTCTGCTGCAGGTCAAACACGCGCTGCGGCCCCTTGAGCCTGCGGAGGGCAGGGGTCAGTGGCCGGCAGCAGGCAGCGGGGTGGCCACCAGCCCTGCCTCGATGCCTGCCCCGCTCACCGCAGCAGGAACACGTTGCTGATGCAGCCACTGAAGTTCCGGATGGTGTCGGCCTCAGGCCAGCCTCCCAGGAGGAGGCGAGGGGCCCCCGTGGGCTGGGGTGGGGGTGGGGGCCGCAGCCCCCGGTGGGGCTTCATCTGTTGAAGCTGGTCGTCCACGTAGAGCCAGACCCTGGGGGGGAGCAGTGTTTCCCCCGTCCTGCCCTCAAACCTGCAAGCTGTCCCCAAGGCCCCCAGCTCTGCTGCCCCCTCCCTGGAGACAGCACTGAAAGGCCAAGCAGGCTGGACTCACCCTGAGGCATTGCTGTAGAACGTGACATAATGGGGAGACCCGTCGGCGAAGCCCCCTCGCGTTTTCACCTCGGTCCTCAGAAGCCGGAGTGTCATGTGGCCCTGCTGCAGGGACACCTCGCACGACCCATCCTGGGGACAGCGGCCAGGTCAGCAGGCTGGGGGGCCCAGACTCTGTCCTCCACCGCCCGAGACCCACCCTGCTGCTGCGGCCAGAGTGGCGGGGCGGACGCACCGGGGACGCTCGGTGGTAGAGCAGCCCACTGTCCTGGGTGCTGCGGAAGCCGAAGCCGGAGTAGACGTCGCCCGTGAGGGGCGCCAGGTCGCTGGGGAGAGCCAGGGGCAGGAAGCCGTGGCCGTGGAAAGTCATGGCCCGTCCCACCTGCAGGGAGGGGAGGGGAATGACCGTGAGGCCCGCGGCTGGAGAGGGCGGCGCCGCCAGCCAGCCAGCCGGGCAGGGTGGCTCACCAGCAGGTCTGCGGTGCAGCCGGAGCTGATGCCCGTGGTGTTCAGCCTCTTGAGGTCCACGTACTTGCCCAGAGCTTTGATGCCCTTGATGCAGCCACGGATGGAGCCTCCGGAGGGGAAGAGCCGCAGCAGACTGCAGGATGGTGGCAGCAGGGTGAGCGGCAGGGGTCGCCTCCCGGGCCCCGCCCCCCACCCCCAGGGCCGGTGCTTACCTCGGGGGCAGCAGGCCGGGCGGCACCCCCCCCAGGTAGTAGGCGTCGGCCAGCTCCAGCGAGTTCTCCTGCTCCACGCTGAACACCGTGGTCCTTTCCACGCGCACCAGCACACGCTTCCGGCTGCCCCCCAGCAGGAACACCTGGATCTGGAAGGCACCGGTGCAGGGGCTTCAGGTGAGCCATGACCGCCTCACCTGCCAGTCCTCCCCGCCCACGTCCTGCCCTCCCGGACCCCAGCCTTACCGCCTTGCTGGTCGTGGTCAGAGGAGGCAGGGGCTGCATCGGGACGGCCTCCTTCAAGCCCGCACCGAAGTCGTAGAGGAGCACGAGGCTGCCTTCCTGCACAGCCAGGCACAGGAACTGGTCCTGGGGTGAGGGGCGGGGCACAGGTCAGTGCGGGGAGGGGCGGGCCAGCCGGGCAGTGTGGGCGTCGGACGTGCCTGGTGCTGCAGGAAGAAGATGACCCCGCTGTAGGACACGAGCCGCAGCTCCTGCTCGAAGCGCTTGGTGTTGCTGATCTGACTCTCCACGCTATGCGGGCGAAGCCGGAGCCATCCAGGTAGGAGCCGTCTGTGAGCCACGGGTCCCCGGTCGACTTGGAGCTGTGGCCAGAGGTTGCAGGGTCAGCGAGGGCGGCCTGGGCGGGGGCGAGGGTCGGCTCAGGCCGCACGTACCGGGCACAAGGCTTATCCACGGCCGTGTCCAGCTGGAAGGTCTCCTCGAAGTTGTAGAGACTGACCACGTCTTCGTTGAGCGTGTCCAACTCGATGCAGCCCCGGTAGCCAGGAAAGCGGAGGGGTTCGGGGGGCTGCGGGCACGGCGTGCGGTCAGGGCGCTGCCCCAGCCAGGACGGACCCAAGGGGAGGAACCCAGGCTGCCGCAGGCGGACTGGAGCCAGGCACCAAGTGCACTTGCC